CTCTGCAAACTATAAAAGGTTGCTGAGAGAAACTAAAGAAGCCCAAAATAAAAAGAATGACATCCCATTTTCATGGATCAAAACACTTATTATTGTTAAGACGGCACTACCCCCCACATTGATCTATAGATTCAATGTAATTCTATCAAAATTCCAGCTAACTTCTTCACAAAAATTGACAAGCTGACCCTAAAATTCATATGGAAATGCAAAGAACCCAGAAGCGCCAAACAATCTCGAAAAAAAGAAACAAGTTGGAGAACTCACACTTTTTTTATTTCAAAACTTACTAGAAAGCTTGTGGTACTGGCATAAGGATAAACATATATATATCAATGGAACAGAATTTTGAATCCAGAAATAAACCCTCACATTTATGGAGCACTGAATACTTTTGACAATAGTGTCCAGAAAATTCAGTGGAGGAAAAAATAGCCTTTTTCAAAAAATGGTTCTGGGAAAACTGGGTATCCACGTGCAAAAGAAGGAAGTTGGACTCCTACATCACACTATAATGTTAATACAAAAATTAAAATGATCAAATACTTAAATGTAAGAGCTAAAACTATAAAAGTTTTAGAAGAAAGCAAATGGAAAAAATCTTCACGATATTAGATTTGGCAATGATTTCTTGGATATGTCACCAAAAACACCGCATTAAGGGAAAAATATAGATAAATGGGACTACATCAAAATTAAAACTTTTTTAAAATCAAAGGACACTATCAACAAAGTGAAAAGGCACCTCATTATATGGGAGAAAATGTTTATAAATCATATATATAAATAAATATATATAAACCATACATCTGATACAGATATATCTGATATATCTGTATATCCAGAATATGCAAAGAACTCTTAAAACTCAACAAAAAACCCAATTCAAAAATGGATAAAATACTTGAATAAACATTTCTCCAAAGAAGATATACAAACAACCCGTAAACACATGAAAAGTTACTCAAATCACTAGTCATTAGGAAAATGCAAAGCAAAATCACAAAGAGATACCACTTCACATTCATTAGGATAGCTAGCTGTTATATTTTTTAAAAGGAAAGTAACAAGTGTTGAAAAGGATATAGAGAAATTGGAACCTTTGTGCATTGCTGGCGGGAATGTAAAGTGGTGCAGCCACTTGAAAAAGTTGAATGGTTCCTCACAAAATTAAACACAGAACTACCATATGATCCAGTAATTCCATTTCTAGGTATATACTCAAAAGAACTGAAAGCAGGAACTCAAAACTGATACTTGTACACCAGTGTTCATTGCAGCATTACTTGCAACTGCCTAAAGGTGGAAACAACCCAAATGCCCATCAACAGATGAACAGATATACACAATGTTGTATGTACGTACGATGGAATATTATTCAATCTTAAAAAAGGAATGCAATTCTGATTCATGCTACAACATGGATGAACTTTAAAAACATTATCCTAAATGAAATAACCCAGACACAAATGGAAAAGTTTGTATGATTCCACTTATATGAAGTACCGAAAGTAGTCAAATTCACAGAGACAGAAGATAGAACAGAGGTTACCAGAGGACAGGGAGAGGGGGAAATTGAGAATTATTGTTTAATGGGTACAATTTCTGTGTGGAATAATGAAAAAATTCTGGAAATGGATAGTGGTGATGGCTGTACAACCCTATGAATGTACTTAATGCCACTGAATTGTATACTTAAAAATGGTTTAAAGAGTAAATTTTATGTTATGTACATTTTATCACAATAAAAATAAAGCAGTTAGACCTCCAGATGCCCCATTCCTAGCAGCTAGATGGATGACCCCCGCTCCACTCCAGCAGAAGATTGGAGGTAATTCACTGAAGGAAGTCAAACGAGCTCTCTGGTTGGAAGGTACAAAGCACACTTGAAGGCAGGACCACCATACTGAAATGGGAATTTCATGAATACTTACATTCTACATATTAAGCCTTCAGTTCTTCTCTCCCCCTCACTTCCCAGGGTGCTGGTACCAGACTGATTCCCTCCAGCAGGGAGACCGGAGGAGTCACTCCATGGAGAATCAGAGCAGTTCACGAGATAAGACCTTAAAATATCAACATGAGGGCTTCCCCAACTGAACAGACGAGACAGATCACCCATCAGTGAAACCCCCAGTTGATAAGCCCACCTGTATGCACAGAATCATATGTCCACTACTAGATTGGGCAAGACAGTCAAAGATCACCTGAAGGTAGAGGAAAGCTACTAAGAGAATAAAACAAACCAGAACAGGTAACTTGGGGGAAGCAACAATTATACAAGAAGAAAGTAACATTGGAAATGAAGTGTATCATTAATATCCTTAGACAGATAAGATAGTGCATCCATGGTATAAGGCCAAAGTGTTATACAGAAAAAGAGAGTTCTGAGAAATTAGAAACTTGATGGCAGAAGTGAAAAATAAAATGCATTGAAAGTACTGTTGAGGAAATCTCCCAGAAAATAGTGCAAAAATACAGAGATATAAAATAGAAAAAAAGTCAGAAAATTAGAGGACAAATCAGAAGATCTAATATACAAATGACAGGAGTTCCAGAAGGAACAGAGAAAAAATAGAGATTACAATAAAACAATTCAAGAAAAAGTCTCTAAAATGAAGGACATGAGTTTCTAGATTGAAATGATCTGCTGAGTGCCCAGCAAAATTGTTGAAAATTTACCCACATCAAGGCATATCATCATGAAATTTCAGAACAATGAAGACAAAGAGAAGATCCTCCATGTTTCTAGAAAGAAAGAACAGGTCCTATCCAAGAGGTCAGGAATAGAATGGCAGTAGAATTCTCTACGGCCACAGTAGATGCCAAAAGACAATGGTGCAATGACTTTAAAATTCTGAAGAAAAATTATACCCAAATATGAGTTCTTTAATCAGCTAGACCCCCACTTTAGTAGAGAATAAAATAAAGATACTTTTAAACCTGTAAAAACTTGGACATTTTATCTCCCATACACAATTTCTGAAAAAGCTCCTGGAGATATGCTCCACCAAATAAGTAAGTAAACCAAGAAAGAGAAGAATATGGACTCTACAAATCAGGGATTCAAGGCAAGAGAGAGGCATGATGGTGAAGGGAGATCCTTATACAACAGCTGTGCAACCACAGGTCTGGAGAGCGACCAGTGCAGACTGGGGCAGATCAGAGGTCTCTCTGCAAGGGACTTTTTCAAAAAGATGAAATTGATAGAATTCCTCATGTGTTTGAACATATTAAGAGATTTACACAAGGAGAGTTTGGGAATTAATTAGTGATAAGGACATTAAAAATCAAGCAAATTAAAGAGAAAGGCACCTAGAGAGTCTCATATTAAGTGAAGTCAGAAAGAGAAAGACAAATACCATATGATATCACTTGTATGTGGAATCTAAAAGAATGATACAAATGAACTTATTCACAAAACAGAAACGGACTCACATACATAGAAAACAAACTTTTGATTACCAAAGGGGATGGGGGGGAGATAAATTAGGAGTTTGGGATTAACAGATACACACTACTATATGTAAAACAGATAAACAACAAGGACCTACTGTGTAGCATAGGGAACTATACTCAGTGTCTTGCAATTATCTATAATGGAAAAGAATCTGAAAAAGAATACATATATATGTAACCAAATCACCTTGCTGTGCACCTGAAACTACCACAACATTGTAAATTAACTATACGTCAATAAAAAAAGAAAAAAGAAGCAAAAAAAAAAAAAAAAAAAAAAAAAAAAAACCTGAAACTACCACAACATTGTAAATTAACTATACAAAAAAAAAAAAAAAAAAAAAAAAAAAAAAAAAAAAAAAAAAAAAAAAGAGCAAGGCAACTATCAACTCCAGGTAATTAAAATGTTGTGCAGAAAGAAAAAGTGACCCTAGGATATTGTGCAGTGGATAAACTCAGCTGCGACTAGAGGTTACATAGCCATAGTAAATGAAAACCCTCTAGGCAAAATTTCAATTTATCTACATTGGGAGTTTGAAGGTGCAGTTAAGTACATGTGAGGTGGGAAGCATGGAAGAGAGCTAAATCCTCATCTCCCATAGCAGGAAATCAAGACATGATACCTAAAACTGAAAAATCTAAAGAACAGCAAAATAAGCAGTTGGTTATATGGTTGTAAACGCTAAATTATCAGCCAAAAGAGGTGAAAAGTGGAGTAAAATGGAGGTAAAATGGAGGCAGATGGGGTCCCCTGTATTTGGCTACAAACCTTGTAGAACCATTTAATTCTGCACGTTTAGCTTTCATAAAATTAACACCATAACATTTTTTTAAATGACTGCAAAGACAAAACAAAAGCAACCTCTTGCTCCAAATAAAACCCTAGATTTTCCCATTTGCTATTCAAATTAAACTTTTCTGAGTTTGATTTCCTCATCTGTAAAATTAGCTTTTAAATGGATTCAAATAGATTGTGAATGCAAAAGTGCTTGGACACTGCAAGAGTTGTTTATTAATAATAACAACAACAACTTACAATCCAAAAGTTGGGAATCCTCAACATTGATTTATTCGATCATGTGAGTGTAGCAGGGAGCGGGACACGACAAGCAAAGCACTGCGTGAAACCAGAGACCTTTCCTTGAACTCACTGTCCAGTCCCTCCTCCCCGCCCCTACTTGTTCCAGGTGGTGATTTATTCTTTAGCCTTTGGGGCCAAACTTTTCGGAATTAGGATTCCGGCTGTGGCACTTCTAGTTGTGTAACCTCAGATAATATCCTCTGCTTAATCTCAGTTCCCCTACCAGGGAATAGTAAACCCCCTCTTGCGAAACTGGTGTCACAAACAAACGAGAGATAAATGGAAAGAAAGTCCTTTGCTTTGGTCGGTAAGTAATTGCAGCTCCCCAACTCCAGCGCCTTCCTGGCCGCGCGGGACACCTGCACACGCCCTCTGGGAGCAGCTGGGGGAGGATCCACAGTCACCATGGCAACCGGAGACGCCTCGCGCTCCCCAGCAGCCTGCGGCGGAGCAGAGGCCAGCCGGCCGCGCGCCGCGGAGAAGACCCCTGCGGCATGAGGGGGGAAGAGGCGGTGACCGCGGTGGCGATGCCCGAGGCGGGCCGCGACGGCGAGCAGCCTAGGCCGCCCGCAGGCCTGGGGTGCGGGGCGCGCGGGGAGACCGGGGGCCGCGGCCCCCAAGAGTTCTGGAAGCAGTGTGAGTTCCCTTTCAGCCTCGGACCCCGCGGAGGGACGTGGGCGAGGAGAAGCGGTGAAAGGTGAACTGGGGGAAACCGCAGCACGACTAGCTGAAGCCGCAAAGCTTTTGGAGGGAGGGGGCGGAGCTGCTGTTTTGGCAAGGGTGTTTTGGCAAGACAGAGGTGATGGTTTTGTGGCCGAAGGCATCTGGTCCATTTCCCCAAGCCGTCCTTCATAAAAGGCTACCTGAGTCCAGGTATCCTCCAACTTAATTGGTGGTGTCATTGGCCTGGAAGGTATTGAAAAAAATTGTTTGTGTGTATATATACATACATATGATATTAAAGATATTAAAATATATCTTAATTATAAAAATGTGTAAAATATAATATATATTTAAGTTTTAAATATATTTAAAAATATGTTTAAATTATAAAAATGTGTAAAATGTAATATATAAATTTAAATTTTACACATAATAAAACTATGAAGTTTATATTTTAAATACATAACTTATATACACACACGGAAATATGCAGATCATTTTTGTCAGTTCCTTCATTTTACAGACCAGGAAACTGAGGTCTACACTAGAGGAAAGGAAGTGACTTGCCTACCGTCACTCAGTGCTCGAGAAATTCTTCAAACACTTAAACCCCCATCTCTTGGATTATCAGTTCATAAATTATGATTACCTGATCCTTTTAGAATCTCACAATTACGGGCCACGTTTTAACACACTGCTGTTGTCTCCTCCCTGCCCTGCCAAACACACAAACAACATTCAAATAAATAAAAGCAGTTCTGGTTCACAGTCACAGCCAACATGGTTGAGTCCACGCTAGGTCCAAGTGCTCTTCCATACTGTTCCATAAATTTACAGATATTTCACAGCCCTTTGTGCCCCACATGTCTTCAGTAGGTGGTAAGGAATGATGAAGATGAAAATAATAGGCCAAAGAGGAAGGCAAGCGTTCCCAGCCCTTTTGCAGCACCTCCCTGATTGCCTCTCTAGAGCACCGTGGCTCCCTCTGCGCCAGGACAACAGAGGAGCGAGGGTTGTTCTGAAGCCGCTCAGCTTCCGCTCCTCAAGCGACCACGCACCCTCCTCTCGGGAGACGGAGACCCCCCGAGGAGCCACAGAACTGCTGCCACCTGGTAAAAGGACCTCTTCCCTCAGCATCAGCCACAATGTGCCTGATTATGATACCTCATTCCTGTTATTGTCAACAGCATGCAGAGACCTTATCTAGAGCAACTAAATTCAGTATATATAAGTATTCAGTATACTTAAGTAATTCCTTACTCTGACTTAAAATTCTGTCTATCTGGGAATTTTCCTGTTAAAGATGCTATAATTTAAAGGTTCTGTATTCCCTGTGACTGTAGGAGTAAAAGGTGGAATTAACCATTCACTCATCAATTTGACAGCTATGGAGTCCTTTTTGCATGTCAGGCATTGGGCTGGTTGCTGGGAAATGAGTAATGAATTAAGGCAGGTGTCCAGACTTTCAGGAGCTCACAAAGTCAGAGTGGGGGGCATATAAAGAGTTCCTGCCTCAGCCTTCCTGAGTTCCTGCCTCAGCCTTCCTAAGTAGAGACAGAATATTTACACCTGCACAAAGTACCCATTCAATTTTCAAAACTTTTTTTTTGAAAGGTCTTCAATCTCTATTTTTTGGAAAGGTCCCCAGTCTCTGTACAGCTTCTGCTCCCTAATCACACATCTGCTCCCGAATATACACAGATAAAATGTGGTGCTTTCCCACTGAAACATTTTTGAATTATATAGTGGTGGCTATTTGAGCACCCACCAAATCTTTCATAGACTCCATGTTACCTTTCTTTTTTTCTTTTTTCAGTGTTACCTTTAAAATAATTTGTAGTGCTTTCACCACACTGGCTGAACTATCCCAGTATTCTCCATTTTATTAAATCACTGAATCCAGTACAATCAGCTTAGTGTATGTGGTAGGACTATAACCTCCCTTGATCTGAAAATTATACTTCTATTAGGTGGATCTAAAATTACATGAGCTGTTTTGACAGATACATTATATTATTAACACACATAACAAACGCAGTCTGTGACATCCTTAGTTTCTCTTTCCCCCGCTGTCCAACTGAAAATATTTGACCCAGGCCTTTTCTGTCCTATGCTTATGCTATGTTAGGACCTTTGTTTGGTCCTAAATACAGGTCGTTATATGTATCCCCAACAATACCGTCCTATGAATTTTAGCACTTCATTCTAGGTGTAGAAGGCCCTTTGAGTCCTGAGTTTGCCATTCAGCACATAAACCATTCACCAGGTTTGTGCCATTCTCACAGTTGGTGAGTTTGCTGAAAGTTCGTATACTCAAATTAACAAATTAAATCGTGACCCCAAACAGTTCCAAGTAGAGTGTCCAGAAGCCCGTGATCTGTCAGTCAGCATCTTTGGCATGGGCGCTCTCTGCCAAAGAGAAATGCACTTTACCAAATGCCTTGCTGAAATGCACATACTACACTGTGGCTACAGCATCTCCCTAATCTATCTAGTTTAGTAACTTGATTTGAGAGAGTTAGGTAGGCATGCTTTTAATTTTTATGATTTCTGGAAGTTACTTTTTCATTTATAAAATAGGAATAATTATACCTGACCATAGGTTGATTGTCAGGAAGAGAGATAATATATGTAAGATGCCTAGGGCATGGTAGCATTCAATAAATTGTAGCAGTTGTTATTAGCCAGCTTGTTTGCTTTCTTTCTTTCTTTCTGTCTTTCTTGGAGCAGGGAATATTTGCCTATACTAGCTCTTTACTACTCTCTCATTTTTCATAGTTCCTCAAAACCTTTGGTGATTTCCTCTGTAAATTCTCATAACAGAAGGGCTGAAATTTGTCAAGAGACTTGAACTTAGAGCAAGTGATCTCTTCCTCTCTTCTGAACTATTACAGCCTTTTCTTCTTTCTTAGCCACATTTCTTAAACCCTTTTTCTGCCTGAAGATCATGATTTAACCAAAAAAGTTTAAACCAAAGTTAAGCTAGAGTAATTCTGACCCTCATTCATCTCTTATTCATATGACTCCTAATTTAGGGGAAACAAGATTCAGAAAGTATCTAACTCTGCCTTGTTCATGTCTGAGGGTGTGTTTGGGTCTCACGACCAGAAATGAACCAGACCCACAGCCATACACAGCAGGTCTTTTGCCCCATTTGGGTCAGTCTGCACACAAGTCAAATTTATTTACTTGTGTTCCCTATTGGTTAGTCGGGAAAAGATGACACCTGCCATATCTTTGTGTTCGTTAGTCAGGTTTTCCATGGCTCCTTGGATTGAGCTTTTGGGCACTAGGACTAGAAATACTGGTTCCCTGTTGTTCACAAGGCTGCATGTGCAGACATGCATATAGAAGAATCTTTCACTAATTGAACAATGCTTAGTTCCACTTGAACACACATTTGTCGAGCATCTATTGTTATGTCCTGCTCTTATGGTATTTATGGCCTGGTAAGGGAGACATATGGTAAACTAATAGTTACACAAAAAATTGTATATAAAGGAAATGAGGCTGCACACACATTGCAATAAATCAAATGAAAGAAAAGAGGAGACTACTCTGGGAAAAAGTAACCAGGGGCATTTCAAGATTGTGGAGGCAAGGAAAGTTTCCTTAAAGAACTGACATTTCAGCATAGACCTGAAATTCAGGTAGAAGTTACCCGGGGAAAAAAAAATTAGGAGAAAGGCAGTTCAGGCAGAGAAAATAGAATGTTCAAAGGCTTCCATGTGGGGATGGACAGAAGGGCCATGTGGCTGGAGCTGAGAGAGCAAGACAGAGAAGCTGACAGGAGAGATTAGAGAAATGGAAGGGCTCAAATGATGCAGCGCTCCCTGGGGTGAGCAGAAGAAATGTAGCTAAAGTACTTAGAACAAATAATGCATCCTCAACTATAGCAGTGTTGTCTTGTGGGGGCAGGTTTAGAGGACAGGAAAAAGTCCTATGTCCATTAGTGGCTCACTACTACAATTCAGGTTTATTCTTTAAAAGATGATGAGGGACTTCCCTGGTGGTGCAGTGGTTGAGAGCCCACCTGCCAATGCAGGGGACACGGCTTCGATCCTTGGTCCGGGAAGATCCCACATGCCGTGGAACGACTAAGCCCGTGCGCCACAACTACTGAAGCCAGTGCGCCTAGAGCCTGTGCTCCGCAACAAGAGAAGCCACCACAATGAGAAGCCTGTGTACAGCAAGGAAGACCCAATATAAATAAATAAATAATAAATTTATCTTTTAAAAAAGATGATGAAATACTGCTAGACTCTTCTGTATTATGTATCTGGAATGTAGGCTCCAAGCATACATCTTTCTTACTCATTGCTGTGTCCTCTGCCCCAAATGCCTGGCACAGAGTATGTCTTTAATAAGAATTTGTTGAATGAATGAAAGTTTTCTTCAAGCTAATGAAGAAAACTTCATAATACCTAAAAGAGGTATCTGAAACTTAACCCCCAAATGTAAAGTTCTCCCCAAAACTAAAAGTTACAATGGAAGAGATCTTTCCAAAATAGAGTCTGCAGGGTGAATCGTCTGCTATTTGCACGGAAGGACTTGTCTCTTTAAAACGTAGTTATTCATGTAGGTAGTGGCTAGAAGGTTGGGCAGAATTTATGATAAGTAACCAGTTTTGTTAATGTCTTTTTAGGGAAGAAATTTTTATATTGTGAGCCACATAAGAGAATTAAGGAGGTACTGAAAGAAGAACTTTATATTAAGAGAGATGAATATGCCACATTAAACATCCACCTGCAGGTAATCTCAGTAACAAATGAGCTATATTTGCAAAATGGATATAAAATTGTCTGTCTGATGGCAGAGCGATTATTTTATTTATTGCAAAACCATGACTATTAAAAGAAAAATGGGTCCCCGGGAAATTCTTGGCTAATTTTATAATTATTTTGCCTATTCCAAATAAACTGTTGTATTTAGGGGAAAAAAATGAGCTAGGTGTCAGAATCTCCATTTTTGGTGGAGTTATTTCTATTTGATGATAAGTAGAATTTGTTTCCAAGTGCCTGAAAAACACAATAACGTATTCTATCTTTATCAATATAAGTATGACCAATAACAGTGGTTCTCAAAGTTTAGATTGCATCAGAATTACCTGGGAATTACCTGTTAAAAGCAAATAGCTGGGCCTCATCCATCAGTTACTTCTGAATAACTGGCTCAGAAGGTCTTTGGTGGGACTTCCCTGGTGGTGCAGTGGTTAAGAATCCACCTGCCAATGCAGGGGACGTGGGCTCGAGCCCTGGTCTGGGAAGATCCCACATACCACGGAGCAACTAAGCCCGTGTGCCACAGCTACTGAGCCTGCGCTCTAGAGTCCATGAGCCACCACTACTGAGCCCGCGTGCCACAACTACTGAAGCCCGCACGCCTAGAGCCCGTGCTCCACAACAAGAGAAGCCACCGCCATGGGAAGCCTGCGCACCACAATGAAGAGTAGCCCCCTCTCGCCTGCGCTCATCAGCAAAGACCCAATGCAGCCAAAATTAAATAAATAAATTTTTAAAAAGAAAAACAATGGTCTGGAGTGGGGTCCAAGAATTTGCATTTCTACCAGGTTCCCGGGTGACGTTGAAGATGCTGGTCCAGGGACCCCACTTTGCAAATCACTGACCCAGAAGAATCTAAGTCATTTAAATCAGTCAAAGCAGCCAAGGATTTTATCCCACATACACATGGTATGTGAGTTACATGGCCTGGGCATTGATAGCTTGCATTGATGGTTCATTTGAAAAAAGATATGCTCTCAAGAATCCCTCATAGATGTTATTTTGAAACTGCTGGAGCCCCTCATTTTCATAGTTCCTTCTCAATGATTGCTAGGTGCATATTTCATGCTTTTCAAACCATCAGGTTTTTACTGCAACCCTCTTGGGTACCAGCAGTTGCTTGAAGATATAAAAGAACTGTAAGGCACAGCTCCTATACTCAGAGAAGTTGCCATTTTCTGAGGAGGACTGTTGAACAACAATCTGGTGGGACCCCAATTCACTAAGGATTCCTAAGAGAAGATGCTGCAAGCCCAGAGGTACATCTTTTCAGACTCCATGGTGTATTTTCCCACTTTTTTTTTTTTTCCGTATCTCTTCACTCTTCATTCGGTCCTCTTGATCTATTTATTGATCTCAATACCAGTGCCACATTGTCTTTGTTACTATAGCTTTATAATAAGTCTTTTTTTTTTCTTTTTTAAAAAATGTTTTCCCACTTTATGTTTTAAAACCAGCATAGAAACACCTTTTAGGTCTTCTTGTGTCACCCATTCTCATGCAAAGAGAGACCAACAAAATGGCTCGTTTTGTTCATATAGTGTCTTGAAGGAAAGTTTAAAGTCTTAGAGTTTGAACTATGGATGGATGCACAATGACCTACTAAATTGCTTCTCTGAACCCCAATCTACATATACTGCTTCCCTGCTGATTAAAAAAAAAAAATTAAGTGAATACTATTATATTTTGGGTCACCTTCATTGTTTTCAGAGATTACATAAAAACCGATTTATACACCAGTTGGATGTTGTATTATTCTTAATGGATACATTTGGTTATGAGACTGTATTAATGGTTAGGAAAAATCATTCGGCTTATAAAAATTCATTTTTCTAAGCAGTGTTTTCAAATATTCTTCATATAAAATGGAGAATGCTTGGGGGGCATGGGGGGGTGCATTTTTAACAACATCCACCAGAGGTCGCACGGAGGTGCTAGTTTAGGCTAGAAAAATCTTTCAAAGCTGAAGATTGATTCTGTGAGGTTGTCTTAAAGGGCTCTATCGATGAAAAACAAAAACCTACTATATTTTTTCTTTTCCTTTTCTTCTCCTTTTTTTAATGGCTGGAATCCCCACGTCCTTGGCCAGAATAGGAAACTAGCACCCAGGGAGAGTGCCACACTCTTCCAGCCTAGCCCAGAAGGCTGGCAGCTCGGGTCAGCCACTGGACCTTCTAGAAGGAGGTTTTCAGTAACACACTCTTTTAAATATCAGAAGAAAGCTATGGCCTCTCTTGCTGGAAAACACACCTTGTCACATATACCCATAATTCTGCATAAAACTCTGAGGGGCTTGTATGACTTATACAGTAGCTATTCCCAGATGTTAGGAGGAAGTATGCTTGACCCATTCATTGTCTTCACTTCTTTACTTATCGTTTGCTCCTTCACCCATCCCAAATAGGCTTTTGCTTCCATGAGTGCAGGGAAATTGTTCTTTTCGATTGCAAATGACCTTTTTCTTGAAGGTCAAATGCAGTGATCTTGAAGGTCAAATTCAATCTCCTGGTTTCAATCGTACCGTCTATTGAGGGGCATTTGTTCTGAAGTTAAGCAACTTAAAAGATAGCATGTTTTACTTCTGATTGAGCTAATGATGACAATAATGGAAGTACCCCAAAGCAGTGGACTTAAGTTATTTCTGTCCTTTTTCTTCTCCTTTGGTTGAATGAAATTGGTAAAAGGTCAAAAGTTTCTTCTCTTTGGGTTGAACAATATCAAGCAAAGGTCAAAAGATCCAGAAGTTAGGCTTTAAGGATGTTTAACAGAGTGAACATTACATTTATTTTAGAATATTGTTATTTGGGTAGCAAGAAGGGACTCAGGAAAAAGCCGTTCAGTGAGGGACCCTCAGGTGATTGAGCTATCCCACCTGTTCTTGTGGTCGTGTATGACAACAGTCAATAAGAGCTGTGAAGACCTTGCAATGGCCAACATGTCCCAGGTGATTGTTACTGTGCACCCCATACTTGGGTCTGGGGAATGACATCAGTGACAACAAGAAAAATGGACTGCCAGGCCTCTAAGCCTTCCCTTCTCTGGGTTTTTGAGTCCTTCCAGGCTCCTAACGTAGAGCTGTATGGATTCAGTGAGAAGGGGAGGGGTAGGTGGGTGAAGGGAGTCTCTCTAATGATGATGATGATGATGATGGTGGTAATCATTAATAATTTTATTTATTTATTTATTATATTGGCCATCATTCACAGTGCGTCTCCTGGACATGAAAGTTTTTACAAATTACCTCTTTCAATCTTTGCAAAAACCCTGTGGTCTTATTGAAACTGCAGAATGCGTTTTGGGACTTAGTAGAGCATAGAGCTTGGTACAGCTTCTGTCTGGGTGCAGAAAGAATTCAATGAGAGACAGAGTGACAGGTAAGGCAAGAGTTTATTAGTATAGGACACTTGTGAGATTTACAAGTGGGTGGGCAAGAGGGTGGCATGCCAAGAACTTAGTGGGCTGCAGTTTTATAATCAAAGGAAAAGTGGGGAGGGTAGACATCAAGCTTCCATCATCAGTTCCTCCTCCACATTGGGCAGGAGTTTTCTTGTCCCTACATGGTCAAACAGGGACTATCGTGGAGCAATGGAAATAAGTGAAAAGGCAGTTACATATACTAAAATATGGTAAATCATCTCAGGTTTCAGTTTAATGTCGCCTTTTCCTTATAGTTTTGCTTTTAGTGTGCACAGAGAAGCATGTCCTAAGAATCATTAACTTACTGACCTCACTGGACAGGATGTGGGTCTCATTCCACCATTGTTTTATTGTTTTGGGACATGTCTAATGCTTCTGTTGCATGGTTTTGGTGCTAAGCAAGCCCACTTGGTTTTGTTGTTAAGCAAGCCTGCTTTCTTGAGTGATCATTAACTTATAGAGGTCTCCCATACTTTTTTTTTTACTTATGATCCCTTCGTGGGATTAACTATTTAATCACCTACTTTGTCCCTGTACTCTGTCCCTATCATTATTATTCCCATTTTGCAGCTCTGGAAGCTGAGGCTTGGGGGAGGTACAATGACTTGCCTGTTGTCACACAGTGGAATAACTGATACTTGAATGTAGGCTCATCAGAAGCTGATGTCTTTGCTCTTAGCCATTGGGATATACTTTAAAATATAAGATTATGTTTTCTTAGAGGAAAAAAGATTTGAAACTGTACTGGTAGCAAATAGTATTCTCTTCAGTAACAACAAAGTTGTCACGGTTCTCCAGGTTCAAGTTCAAACTTGAGGTAGAAGAGATTTCAGAGACTTTACACATTCCTGCCCCAAGCACAGGGGCCTGGATGCACAGGGTCTCATCATCCTGAAATGATGAAAAGAAGAAATGCAATTTTCTGATCAGATCTGCTGCCAGGTGTAAATGGAATTTGGGCAACCTATGGAACTTTCTGGATAAGTAAGAATTTAGCTAACATCACAATTCATATATTCTTAGTGGTCCCCTGAAGATTTCCCCCTCCTTACAACTTTTTAAAAAAAAGAGGTAGGTTTATGAGACATGCATTATGGGACTATTGCATTCATTTTGCCCTTTATTTTAAAGCCATTTCTACATTTTGAAAATTTTCTATAGAGGACCATGTGGAAATACATTAATGCACTACTTTAATGTTTTCAAATTGCAAGGGCTTTTGTATTTTTCAGGCTAAAACCTGCAGAGTTTATAGTAGTCATGAAAACTTTGATTAATGAAGCTCACTAGTGTTCTCTTATACATTTCCTTTCCCAATGAATTTCAAGAGTGTAGTCTCAGATGCATTCATTTGTGTCTATATGTGCCTGAATGCATGCAAACTTAACGTTGAGTCTGGTTTAGTTATTATGCTTAGTACAAATTTAAGAAATGTGAAATATTACCCAGCAAGTGTGGATATTTTTGCTATTCATTAATTCATTCAACAAAAATGTTTTTGTACCTACAATATACAAGGAACTTACTAGACACCAAAGGCATGTCAAGATAATTCCAAAAAAAAAAAAAAATAGATAATTATGGAGCTTAGAAGTCACCAAACATAAATTTTAATTACTTATAATTTTCTTCCTCTGACCATGTTTATACAAAGGAAGCATAGACAATATGTTTCTAAACTGGCTTTTCAAGCTCCCATGTTCCTTATCCACAGTCCTGAGACAGCTGGGGAAACAAAAATATTTTTAAAGGGCAACCTTCTGATAGACCAGGTCAGATCCCATTGGCTAAAATTTTCAGCGTCAAGACTTGGTTTTGTAACTTTAAAATTCAGTATAAAAACACACCTAAAAAGGTTTTTGAGTAGAAGAGGTTAGGGGGCATGAGAAGCGGAGAGAGAAGAATCTCTAAGATTCTGAGCTGCAAGAAAAGATTTGATTCCTTTCTCTTAGCGTCTCTCTTACGCCTGCTGCCCTTTTCCTTTTCAGGTTAAGCTGCCAACACTGAGGTCTCTCTGGCCCCGTTCTGCACACCCACCCCCCTTTGTCTTCTTTCCTCCTCGGGAAAGCATTTGCCCAGAGCTGAGAGAGTTGAACTTACCTTTAAAGAAGCCTTTGCTTCAAAGGATAGTCACACTTCTTTTTGGTCCTCTTTTCCTCCAGTTGAATATATCACTTTCCATAATGTCTTCATCCAAATATCCTATCAAATCAAAGTCATGCTATTTTTCCCAGCACCCTCTATCCCCAAGTACAGTAAACACTTACGTATAAAAACATTTTGCTTTGAGGGGTTTTTTTCCATGCATTATCTAAGCATACGCATTTACATTTCAGGTATTTTCTCTATTAAGCCATAAATGTGATTGCATCTGAAAGAGCCAACTAGATTAGACTGGTACAATTCTTCTGTTTATTTATTTTTTTGCGGTACGCGGGCCTCACTGTTGTGGCCTCTCCCGTTGCGGAGCACAGGCTCCGGATGCGCAGGCTCAGCGGCCATGGCTCACGGGCCCAGCCGCTCCGCGGCATGTGGGATCCTCCCGGACCGAGGCACGAACCCGTGTCCCCTGTATCGGCAGGCGGACTCTCAACCACTGCGCCACCAGGGAAACCCTCTTCTATTTAATTTGATGTGGATTTTCTACAGAGTTCTACCTCTGGATTTTTAACCGTTTTGCATTTACCGGACCTTCCCACAATGCGGAACAAATCTAAATCTATTTTCTTGGTTTCTCACAGGGTGTCACGGGGGGTACTGAATAAATGTTTGTGGACTCCTACATCTGAGAGTTTGTTACCCTTTTCTATCTCTAGACGGGGCAGGAAAGGAAACTGGCTTGATCAGTAAGGGAAGATTTGGGTTAGATATAAGGAACGGTTTGAACTTTGTAAGGTCTTGGCAGAAGGAGATTGTGGAGTCTTCCTTGAAGATCTTTGAAGAAGAGAGAGGAAATGAATCTTGACAGATAGCTCCAGCCACTCCGTTCAGGAGCCGGGAAGGAGGGGAAAGGACTGACATTCAGCCTGGTGAGTCAGCTCAGTGACTGTGCCTCTGGAAATAGAATCTGAGTCCATGCTTGTACAGGAAAATCATCGTCCCTGTAAAAAAAAAAAAGCTACTATTTATTGAGTACAAAGCATTTCATTTCATCCAAATCCTATAATAATCCTTCAAGGTAGATATTATTGTCATCCCCATGAGGGAACTGAGACATCGTGGATTAAATAACTTGCCCAAAGTCATAGAATTGGTAGGTGGTAGAGCAGAGACTGAAACCCAGATCTCCTCTGAACTCAAAGGCTGTGCCCCTACCCATTGCATGGTACAGACTCCTTTAGGGAGGGATCATGTCAGTGTGTATGCCAGTGGGCAGACTTGGATCTGTGGAGAATATTGGGCATTGACATTTGCAGCTTCAGAAATGGGAAAAACAACTTACGGCATTTACCTGAATTCACTTCTTTGTTTGACTTGGGTCACAGTTTTCTACACAGTAGATTTTCACTAAATGCTTGTTAACTGATTCCCAGAATCTAAACATGTGATTTTAGGATATGGAGAAAAGCCCAGTGCAAATCATTACTAAACCAATACTTATTGATGGTATCAGGACTTAGGACTATAATTTGCCTTGCACAGTGCATAGACATCACGTTACAAATATTTTGTTATGCTGTTTTCCAGTGAGTTTACTGTTTCTCTCAAGGGGGAGATTAAATAACATCTAGTTTAGAAGACTGTTGGATCTATTGGATGAATTACTCTGGTAACTTTGGGTTATGTTATCTTGGGAAATATTTGTGCTTCTAGGAGTCAAAGCAGAATCAGATAAGATTGCCTGATGAAGTCCATGTATTAGTGATTATTTATTCCTGATTTCTCTGCGTCTTGCTCTTTGTATTTCTTCATTGACTTTTCATCTGTTTCTTTAGGGGCAGGTTAAATTCATAACACTGTAGAGGTTTAATTGCATAGGGAATAATTCAATGAATGAACTAGAATTACAGATTAAACAAAGGCTAAAGACCTTGGGTGGTTTAATCAATCAAACCAAATAAACCTCCACCCAAATGGCTAAAGAAAATAGTCACCAAGTAAATACTTTAGGAACATTTTGTGCTGAAAAGAAAAGAAGCTAATAATCATGATCTTGCTTTTGAAAATATTGACAGTGGCCCTGGAAGGGATTTGGAGCATTAAAAGGAATCTCCCTGTGGGAGGCTTGAAACCAGGACTGCCGAGCAGAAACAGTTTACTGCCACAAGCCAAGTACTACTATTCGAGGCACGGAGGGCTACGAAGTAAGAGCTGGATATCCTTGACTTCCACCCCAAGCACGGAGGATACTGAGTGGTTTATAAACCAGTGGTGTATGCTTTATTTACAGCTCTCAGTCAAAAGCCAATCTTCTTTTGACTTGCTTCTCTCAGATTACTTGTAGTTTAGCTACGTTGCCTCATTGTGGAACTTAAATAGTAATAGTTTAAGTAACCAATTTACCCCACGGATACAATAGAAGTTCACACTCTTGAGTTATACTCCTGACTCTTTCCTTTCCTTTTTATCCACAGAAGACCTTCCAGCACACAGGCTCAGTGGGGAGGAATCTTGCACTGTCCTTTCTTCTAGACAGATGATCTGCATTTACTAGTGGAAATGAGGAAAGGGAGACGAGGGAATTCAGGAAGAATAAGGCAACTGCTTTGCTAGGTTCCATTAGTTTTACCCTATTTTAGGTAGGAGGCCACCAGGCTGGCCCCAGTAGACTGTTCCTCACAGACATTATGTTTGGGGAAAAAGCTATTACTCATTCCTCGCTGTCCCAGCCGATGTCTGCCAGCGATATTTGTGGCAGGATGTGGAGAAGGCAGGGGTTCTGACGTGGAAGCACAAGCAGTGTCCAGATAGTGTACGGACATACAACTGGGTCTATAAGTCCTGAAAACAGCTCTACAATTGGGAGGGAACCCTGGGCTGAGAGGAAAGAAGTGGGTAAGTGCCAAGCTTGGGTCCTCTTAACCAAGATATGAGTCATACTGGCAAATGCTATATAGCACCTCATATTCTAGATTCTTCATATATAATTATATATTAAATCTTTACAACAATCACATGAAACAAGTACAGTTCATTTCACAGATGAGGAAACTGAGGCTCAGAAAGGTTTGAATAATTTACCCAAGTCACTCAGCTAGTGAGTAGAAGTCACGAAGCACCACCAACTCTGTGAGCCGACAGTACACAGGAACTGGGCTGTCTGGTGAAGCTGGAATGGCGTGAGGGCTCAGCCCAAGTGCCACAAAGGAGGGGGGTCCCCAGGGAGGAAGCCTCCAGAATATCGATTCAGTAGGAGGAAAATACAGCCACTAAAGACTGTGACACAAGGTGAAAAAATAAACAAACAAAAAACTTGTTACTTAAGGGGATTCATGTAGCAAAAAGGAACCAGTAATAGAGACCTGGGTTTAATAATAATAAAGTAGTAGCCACCATTTATCATGTGCCAGGCATGGCAGTCTTTTATAGTTATGTAAGCCACAGGGTCACATGAGATGAGAGTTTCATTTTTCACATGAGAAAACTGAGGCTTGGAGACATTACATTACCCAAGATACTATGTCTAGGGGGTAGTGAGGCCAGAACTACAGACCTGTTTCCATCTGACTCCAAGACTATGCTTCAACCTTTGGGCCATCATGGCAGAGAATTCGCTCATCAGAAAACAAGGGTGGAATAGTAGTGGTTAAACAGGCACAAATGCCAGGGACATGGGAATTCAGGGTTAGGAACCTGGGAGTCAACTACATGCAAAATCCACAGAGATGTCAGTGACCTGAAGTAATGGTTGTTCCACCCAAGTCTGGGACACTTGCCCAGTGGGGGCTGTTTATTTCAGCTTTCCACCCAATTTGTCAGGTCCCAACTCTAGTGGGCAAATCCATCATTCCAAGAAAACTCACAAAGCAATTTATTTTAGAGATGATTTTCTAAATGCCGTAATATAAGACTGGTTTGAAGAAAAAATTACCTTCATTTGAAGACATAGAAGTGGAACAAATTACCCGATTTATCAATTGGGGGCATATAATAAAAAAATACATGTTCGATTTTGACTATAATTACATTACTTTCACCCACACGGTTTAGGAGAAACTTATTCACAGCTCCCGCTCGTTGATACTCATCCACACTACCTTCCGAGCGGCCCCCAGCCCTCTATCTCCAGCCTACATCAAGCCCTTACAGTGGTCATGTTATAGTATGTAACTGACATTGTTGTATGTTTTAGCTTCATCTCTGTAAGTTACCAGCTGCATTTTGCCATATAAACTGCTACTATCTGCTATACAAATCACAACTGATGAATCCATAAGAATTAGCTGATAACTGATAACTGAGAATTAGATATTTCTCATTATCAATTAGGAAAGTTAGATGCAAGACAGCAATATCACAGATGAACAAAACCCACAGATAACTCTCAAAAGTTGGTCAGTATTAATTCAAACACTGTCAGAAACACAATGAAGGCAGGACCCATGTCTCTTTCACTCACCACTGTTTGTCTACCTGGCACGGTAGGTGCTCAATCGCTATCAGTCACAAGAATGACCGCGCGAATGATGAAACAGGAAATACATACATGTTGAATGCCTCCTGTATGTTCGGAACCTTCTTGCTGCTACCCCGCACGTCTCCCCCTCCACAAAAGTATATGGTTTTCCCTCTTTGAAGTGCTAAATGAAACAATGTAAACAATAGAAGGAAAAGCAAGGGAACCCATTGACTTTAGTGTGTGAGTCATGAACAGTTGTGCATATCTTATATATACACTGATGCTTTCAAAGAGAGGTTTTCCTTGGAATACAATATTTCCAGAAACCTCTCCTATAAAGTGTACTTTAGGTAGATAATTTGGGCAATCCTCACTGTCATCTTTTTCCTATTCACTTGTGCTTTTTTCCCTTTTTCTCATGAACAACACGATCATTGTAGTTGTAACTCCTCCAACATTTAATACACGTCATTTAAAAATTTAAATTTAGAATCATGATCATCTAATTGTAGTTCTAAATTCTAAAACAGTTTTTGGTTAGAGACTATGAAGCATCTCCTGCTTTCATTATACTAACAAGATTGAGTCATTTACTTTGATCACCGTCTTCTTATTCTGTGGCATGTAACAACAACAAAATAATAATAATAAAGTTGTCCAGCCCAGCACTTCTCAGGCTTTAATGTGACTACAAATCACATAGGTATCTTATCAAAAAGCAGTTTCTGGGGCTTCCCTGGTGGCGCAGTGCTTGAGAGTCCGCCTGCCGATGCAGGGGACGCGGGTTCGTGCCCCGTTTCGGGAGGATCCCACATGCCGCGGAGCGGCTGGGCCCGTGAGCCATGGCCGCTGAGCCTGCGCGTCCGGAGCCTGTGCTCCGCAAATGGGAGAGGCCACAACAGTGAGAGGCCCGCATAACGCAAGAAAAAAAAAAA